TGGGGGCTAAGTTTCTAATACATAAAACTTGGGGGACACAATTCAAGTTTCAGTGAGTTTTAGGGGGACATAATTCAATCTACTACAGTTTCCCTTCCTGTTTCATTGCTGTTATCCGTATATATATGGATATATATTTTTTCTTTCTCTTTTCTTCTTTTTATTTTTTTTCTTTGTATCTCTTCTTTCATTTTGGTGATAGTGAGGAGGAGAGATAAATGTGTATCCCTATTCTGACATCCAGGACCTAAAGTGTACACGTTACTTTAAAAGTGTGTTTTAAATAAACCTAATTTATTTCCTTAGTTTTCTTCTAAAAATATTAGTGCCTAGGAAAAATAAAATTAAGATAATAAGGTATATACCTATTAATTTTTTTAACTTATAGCTTGAAAGTGAAAAATATGAATTAAAGTCCAAAGTGTTAATAATGAAAGAAACAATAGAGTCATTAGAGAACAAATCAAAACTGCAAGCTCAAAAACTTAGCCATGTGGCTGGTGACTCATCTCATCAGAAAACAGAGATGAACTCACTTAGGTAAGTTTATTGAAAGTATGTTATTTCACTTCTGGGGACATGTTTATGGTTATGTAAAGTTCATAATCATGGTATTTTGGACTGGGCCTTGAGCGTTACTTTCCAAAGTTGGCCTTGGAGCAGAATCTCTTGGGAGGTTTTGAAAACTGTGCATTTAGGGGCTGATCTCTGGAGTAAATTTGGATAGATTTTGAATACTTGTATTTTTAAAAACTTTNAGGGGCTGATCTCTGGAGTAAATTTGGATAGATTTTGAATACTTGTATTTTTAAAAACTTTACAGATTCATATGATCACAGGCAAGTTTTTGAACCTAACTCCTTTTAAAATCCCTCTTAATAGATAACTTCAGATCATTCATACTTCATAGTGTAGAACTGCCGAAAATTATAGAATTTTTTGCTATCTGTGTCATTTTTCTTCTTTTTCTTGCCTCTTTCAAAGAAATGTGAAGTTGGAATATTTATCTCCTCTTTTTAACCCTTTCTGGCTTAGAAACAAATTTTTAATCAAGGGGCAGCGGGTAAATGACTACCATGCCTTTTAGGAAGCTGACTGGTGGAAATATAGAACATGGATTTGAGTCTTAGAGACTGAGGGTGAGCAATGGAGACCAAGAGTCTGGACTGAAACAGTGAAAATGAACTTGGATAATAGAGGTCAGATATAAAAAACATTTCTTCCATAGAATTAAAAGGCTTGGATGCCTTATATTGGGATGAAAGAGAGATACAATAATGAAGAATGTTTATCTTAGAATATTGCATTGTTGATTAGCCATTAATCAGTTTACAATACAGAAGACTCAAGGAAACAAAAAGCCACCAAAGTTAATTTTTTTTCTGGATTAGGTAGCTGCAACAAGTAAAAAGATACTGAAAGTCAGAAAAAGGGGACCGCTCTGAAGAGTCAGAGGCTCTCTCTAATTTGCATTAAGAATCAGGAAAAGATTTTCAGATGTCAGTAAGACATTCTACTGTGAAACTAAATCAGTCAATGAAGCAGTAACAACTTGATATCAGAAAGGACTGTAATAATGATGATTTTTAAAAAATGATGGACAAATTATAACTGAAGGGTTAGTGAACAGTAGATTAGCTATTGCAGAAAACTGAGTTGGTGAAATAGAAAACAAACTCAAGAAATTCACCAGAACTCAGAATGACAAAAAGACAAAGATCCAATATATAAAAACTAAGAATCACAAAAGTGTATAGTGAAATAAACAGCAAAAGTGAGAATCAAAGGATTGATTAGGAAAAGAAAGGCCTGAAATTATAGTTCATAAGGGCTCCCTGATTACCAAATAACTTAATGAAATAAGAACTGGGTGTGTCTGGTTAATTAAGAAATACTGTATTAGTGATTCATGTAGGCCATCTGCAGTTTTGTTCCCTCTTTGCTGTTCTGACTACTGTCTTGATAAGTTAGACTTTAGAAAAAACTAAGGTAGATGCTGCTTTTTTCTTTTTCTTTTTTTTTTTTTTATGCAGGCACTACATATACCTCAGGAAGGAGAGCTGAATGGATCAGCCCCTCTTTT